GTCAAGTTGAAACAGAAGACTAGCCATCACAAATCTACCCCTTGTCAACTCGACACCCAATAGCATCTCCTTAGGCCATGCTTAATTTTCAAATGAAAACAATGGCAAGGTCATATTTTACCTAACATGATACAACCATCCAACCATAAATTGACCAACTCATTACCTTAGAGTAGGTGGTAAGGTCTTTGAGGAATGTTTGTCCTTTAGTATCTCATAACCTAATATGATCATATAAGTTTAATCACTTAGCACTTATCTCAATTACACATTTAAAAGGGAACAATACAAATATCTACTCAATATATGTGCATCTATGCACAAGCATATTCTTAACCAAATAAGACAAAAATGTTCATGTCAGTTACAATTCACATTTCTGAAACTGGTCACATGGCCTCAGTTGATATTTATAACTACGTTCCTCTACTACCCATTCTGTATTTCCTCCACTATCAGCAAGCACCTCTGAAGGTCTTGGCCCTTTCCCTGGAGGATTGATCCATACCTTTATCCCTGAAGGGTCTGGACCATTTGTTGTCCTTGGTAGATTGGGTTGTTGCAGTTTCCCACTGACCAAAAGATACTCTAAGGAATCTCCTGCCTTCCAGACATAATCTTCCTTACCTGCACTGTGGAGAACCAGTCCAATTTCCCCCTGGTAGTCTGGATCAACCATCCCTCCTAATAATACTGTTATTCTTTTCTTAACCTGTTGACTTAAGGATGTCAGAAGCCCAAAGTGGCCAGGAGGAGAAGCCTTAGCTTCCAGTTCAATGGAATGCTTGTTGTGTCTCCTGGCAAAAGCACTCCTGCCTCTGGAACCAAAATTTCTAAGCCAGCAGAGGGCAAAGTTGTGGGTACAGGAAGCTAAAATTTTCCTAGTGCATCACTAGCACTGATAGTGAGTGGACTCATTCCCATTTCTACGGCTTGATTCCTGGACCCGTGAATCTTGGCTATAGGAGAAACAGTACCATATACTGGATGCTGATTCAAAGCATATTGCCACCTAATTGGTGCTGTAACTGTGTCTTTAAGAAGCCATTCCATTGCTCTATCAAGCCAGCTGCTTTAGGATGAAGGGGAACATGGTAAGACCAGTGGATTCCATGGCCATGGGAACACTGCTGCACTTCTTTGGCTGTGAAATGAATTTGCTGATCAGAAGTGATGCTGTGCGGAATACCATGATGATAGATAAGGCATTCAGTAAGTCCCTGGATGGTAGTTTTGGCAGAAGCATTGTGTGTAGGAAAAGAAAAATCCATAACCAGAATAAATGTCTAGTCCTGTAAGAACAAAGTGCTGTCCCCTCCATGATGGAAGTAGTCCTGTGTAGTCAACCTGCCACCAGGTTGCCATCTGGTCACCATGGGGAATAGTACCATATTGGGGGCTCAGTGTTGGTCTCTGCTGTTGGCAGATCTGGCACTTAGCAGCGGGGGGGCTGTAGCTAGATCAGCCTTTGTGAGTGGGAGTCCATGCTGTCAAGCCCATGCATATCTCTGCCACCATGGCCACTTTATTCATGGGCCCACTGAGCAATGACAGGGATAGTTGGAGAAAGAGGCTGACTATCCACAGAATGGGTCATCTGATCTACTTGATTAATGAATGACTGAACTCATCTTCTGCTGAAGCCACCTTTTGATGAGCATTTGCATGAGACACAAGTATGTTCACATCCTTTGCCCATTTGGAGAGATTTAGCCATATACTTTTTGGTGACAGACTTTCATGAAACATCGTTGAGACCAGAGAACAGATTTTGAGAGTTAAAGGGTGACAGAATGCCACGAATTGGGAGGTAATAGTATAGGTGAATATTTTAACAATTCTTGAAATTGGTATATAAAAAGAATTGGAAAAATTAGAGTTAAAGGAAAGGAAATGAGAATAAAATATAAATACAGCATTGAAATTTCTTCAGGAAGTTAACTTGTGATCATGAATACAATTAAGGATTCATTGTTGTTGGATTAGTCAGGCTCACAGATTTAAGTCCTGGTTTTGTCAATAACAAGCTTTGTGAGCTGTTGAGAAAGACCTCAACAGAGTCCCAAATCCCCCTAAGTAAATTTCTTTTTGATGGAAGCCCCTTCTACCTGCCTGATCTCACCTGATTCTTCTCTGTCCTGTTAGTAGGGTTTAGCCATTGGCACGTGGTAGAGAATTCAATAAATAAGAGCTATTGTCCTTTGGATGCAGGGTCCCTTAAGAGGGGTATGGGATAGGACTTGAGAATTTCTGGTCTTGGATATCAGTTGCAGTTGATGATGTGTTTTATAAGATGATGATGATGGCCAAGCACTGAGGAGGCAGAGAAATTTTCTTAAGAACATGCTTTGTGTTAGTTACTTTTGTATCACTGTGCTAAAATTCCTGACATAAACAACTTAGGAAGGAAGGAAGGAAGGAAGGAAGGAAGGAAGGAAGAGGGGAAGGAAGGAAGGAAGGAAGGAATTATTTTGGCCCATAGTTTCAGAGTTATCAGTGCATAGTAGAGTGCTTCAGAGTTTCTGGGCTTGAGGTGAAGAAGAAGATCATAGCAGAATGGTATGTGAGAGGAAAGTGCCTCATAGCAGATAGGAGCAATAGTAACAGGAACAGGCCAATGCGAGATCTAGCTCCTAGAGACACACCTGAATGATTAGTTTCTCTAGCTAGGCCCTACATTTTGCATTTCTGTCTCCCTGTAATATATTCAAAATTTACATCCATTAGTGGATTAAACCATTGATTGAAGTGAGCCTTCATGATCAAATGATCTCTGAGATCTCTGGATGTCCTCATAGATACATCCAGAGATGTGGTTGACTAATCTAGGCATCTGCCAGTTCAGTCAAGTTGAGAAGATCAACCATCAACTCTGTGATTTTTGATTGGATTGGGACAGTAGGAGACACTGTCTTGATCTTTTGAAAGATCTATCATATCTGTTCTCTTGCTGAATGGTCAGTTCAGCAGCTGTCAACGAATTGCTGGACAGTCTCTTTCCCATTGGTTGTAAGCAGGTCTTTTCCATGGCTGCAGTTCTTGTTCACATTGTGGGGGTGCTTTCCTGTTTTTCTTCAAACCTAGTTAAATGGTAATGTTACAGATCATTGGCAATTCATCAGGCCTCCTTGCTTTCCTTAAATGTTACTGTTCTCTACAGATGAGATTTTTTTAAGGAATCTATTTAGAATTGTTTTTCATTGATTCTCTCCTGAGTTTGTTAGCATCCTGGATAGAGAACACAAGATCATTTTAGATGAAGAACACAAGATAATTTTAATATTGTTTATACTCATAATGTGAGAATTCAGAATAAGTCACTACTTTTAATAACCAAATGGAGCATTATATAATTCTAACTCGAAGTAAGGATTGTTTCCCGAGCTAACTAAATTCTGCCAACTTGTAACTGGCTGTACTCCTTATTCACTGAAGCCTTTCCATGCCTTTCCATGCCAAGCATTGAGGGTGGTTCTCATACACTGGTCTCATTTACATTTGCATTTCTGTGTATGTTTCAGTATCCCACCAGCTTTGGAAAAGGGTGATTCTAGGATATTACCATGTCTCGAGGGAAATATTGGCATGTCTCCATCACAGATCTCTATAAATAATTTAATGATGCAGTACTGTTTCCTTTTGTCTAAGTGGAGAAAACCACCACACACACACACACACACACACACACACACACACACACACTATGCTTGAATGTGATGGTGGCTTTTTAAAGGATTGGTTCTGTTGACCTTGTTTGTATATGGCTCTATTTTAATATTGAGAAAACCATTCATAAACTAATTCATTAGAGCACAGCTTAATTTATACCAGTGACTGATGCTTTCAATAGTTAGAACAGGTACTTTTGAATAGTTGTGCATTTTTGTAATAATTTGTGCTAAGTAATTTCAAGAATGCATCATTTGGTAATTGGAGTGTTTGTTTTTACATTACACATATTAGCCTAAGTCATTATATCCCCAAATTTGTCTTACCTCTAATCTGTCAAGTAACTATCAGCAAGAATCTTGCATTGTTAGTCTTTGTTTCAATGAAAATAGAAGTGCCTAAATAAGATTTTCAAGAAACTGTAACATGCCCTATCATGTTGGAAGACTCACAAGGTCATACTAGTGAAGAGAAAATTTATCAGGATTAGATTCAACATAGTCAGATATTTTGGTGGTACCTGAGAATAAGGGAATTTATTTGAAATGATTTGTTTTTTTTAAATTCTCTGAGAATTGAATGAATTCCTGCCACTCTAGCATTTGTAAGATTTTAGATTACCTTTGTATATAGAACTGAAACAATCCCTGTACTTGTCCTCAGTCTTTAAATTTGTGTATGTTTACTGGTAGAGTATGCTAGTATGTGTATTACTGAGCAAGTAAAGTCAGTAAAATTGATTCTTTAATGAAGGAAATTAATATGTCCATTATCCTAGAGACCTCTACCTAAGATTTGGTTAAAGAAAATGGTATCATCAATTCAAGACTGTTAGTGTTGGCATACTTCTTTTCAGATTATTGAATATTTTGTTTATCTTGCAGGAAATCATGGATAGAATTTATAAGAATGTTATGAGCAAAGTTCAAGAGATGAATTATATTCAGAAAACACTGTTCAAGATAGGGTATGATTACAAATTGGAACAGATCAAAAAGGGATACGATGCACCTCTTTGCAATCTGTGAGTATATGCCATAGGCCCTCTCATTTGCATTTGTGTTGTGTTGTGTCCTGTTGTGTTGTATGGTATTGTGTTATAGCCAGGTCTTTTGATGTTTTCCAGTTTGGCTTCAAACCACTGGGCTCAAGTGACATCCCTCCTCATCTTCCCAAATAACTGGCGCTATGAGTGTGTACCATTGTGCCCATAAATTCTTCTGTCTTTTTAAATCTGAAAGATGAAGTAAATGGCAATTTCCTTTAAATATTGCCATCATGATTCTAAGGCTGAATTCATCCTTATATTCTAAGTCTTATTGTTTATAAAATAGGTGAAAGTCCATGGATTCTGGATTTGACAGTTTAACAAATTTGAATAATGAAGTAAACATTTGATTATAAAATTTGGTCTCCTGAAGAAAAACTGAAATAGGCTTTTCAATCAAGACATTAAAGTTGGGTTGGAGCGATGGCTCAGGGGTTAAGAGCACTGGCTGCTCTTGCAGAGGACCCGGATTCAGTTCCTAGCACCCACAAAGTGACTAACAAGCATCTATAACTCCAGTTCCAGGGGATTAGACACCCTGTTCTGTCCCCTGAAGGGACTGCATGGCACGGGTGTGCTTATACACATGCAGGCAATACAGTCACACATAAAATAAAGAAAACTTAATTTTCTTAAAAGACACTGAAGTTTTAAAAGCATCAGTTCTAAATACAAAAGTGATTTTCAGTATTTATTCTACATATAGGTTTCCCTTTTATTGTGTTTATGAAATAGTATAGTAAATTTGTGAATATGTCAGTTACTTTAAATGCAGTGATGGGGGGCAGGGATGGGGAGAATTTTTCATTGGAAGGGATATAAGGTTGTGTGCTGGAGAGCTTTAGTTGTCTACTTGACACACCTGGGTAGAGGGAGCCTCTCTTGGGAAATTGCCTCTATTAGACTGGCCTGTGACCATGTCTCTGGGGCATTTTCTTGATTGTTGAGTGATGTGGGAGTTCCCAACCCACTGTGGGTAGTGCTATTCTTGGGCAGGTGGTCCTGTATTGTATAAGAAAGTAAGCTGAGCGTGGACCAGGGTTCCAAACCAGGAAGTACTGTCCCTCCATAGCTTGTGCTTCAGCTCCTGCCTCTAGGTTCTTGTCCTGGGTTCAACCTTGGACTTCCTCGGTGATGAACTGTGACCTGGGAGATGCAGGCCAAATAAACCCTTTCCTCCCCAAGTTGGTATTGGTCAGGGTGTTTTGTCACAGCCATTGAAGACAAGCTAGAGCAGGTAGTTAACTAAATGTTCCAAAGAAAACTTTAAAAATTTTCCTTGACATTTTCTTTCATTTAGCATGTTAGAGCATTTTACCAACAATGCACATTTGGTTTTGAGGACTAGGTGTTTTTCTAGCATATTTTTAAGGTGTTAACTTACTGTTGTTTTGTCAGCCTCCCATTACCAACATGATTCAGAAATGTATATGTTCATTCAAAATTGAGAGATCTTTTCCACAGTTTATAAGTTAGCCTGGTGCCACGAATAATGTATGTTTGGATGACAGTTGTTTCTCTCCCTTTTCATCAAGGTTACTCTTTAAAAAGGTGAAGGCTCTGCTGGGAGGGAATGTCCGTATGATGCTATCTGGCGGGGCCCCGCTGTCTCCTCAGACACACCGATTCATGAATGTCTGCTTCTGCTGCCCCATTAGCCAGGGCTATGGACTGACAGAATCATGTGGAGCTGGGACAGTTACTGAAGGTGAGCACTGGTCATGTGTTATTAGCACTACTATGAAAGCCATTTGCATAACCTTTGGAATCCATGATTATTTTACAATTTGTTTTAAGTAATACAAGGAGGTTCATTGCAAGCCTACCTAGTATTACTTTTATGAATACTTAGTTAAGAGTATCACATGTTCCCTTTATTTTTAAGCCTCATAATTCTGTCATGTTGGTCTTTTTTTCTTTCTTCTCTAAATAATCACTATTTTTCTTCTGTAAATAATTGCTTATTTTTAAAGTAATATTTTAAATCTATTCTTCGAAAAATTCATGGAATTATACAATATATTTGGATCATATCTATCCACGACTCCTTTCTTCCAACTCCCCCTAGTACCTAAATCTCTCCCAACTTCTTGTCCTCTTTTTTGTTATTAATAACCCCAAATCCAGTAGTGCTGACCATTTTGTGCATGGGTGTGGGCAACCTACTAGTGGCCACATACCCAAAGGAGAATGACCTTCCCTCTTCTAATAGCCATCAAGTGTCAATAGCTCCTCTACCAAGGGCGGTGTCTTAGAGGCCCCTCTTCCATCCATCTGGGAATTTTGGCTGCTTAGTCTTGTACAGGTCTTACACAGGTAATTCTAGCTGGTTTAAGTTGATTTGCATAATAGCCACATCATATTCAGAAGCCAGCATTTCACAGCTCCCCTCCCCATCCACTAGCTCTTATAAAATTGTCCTTGAACCTTGGGTGGAGGAAGGTTGATGTAGATGATCAAATCCACAACTGAGCACTCTTATATGTACTTGGCATTTTGATCAGTGATGAATTTCTGCATTAGTCACTATCCACTGCAAAAGAAGAATCATCTCTGACCAAAGTTGACACAAATCTATGGGTATAAACATAAAATTTAAAATCCAGTTTAACAGCATGGTGTAAGTAATTACTTCATTAGACTAGCGTACTCTCTGTGTGAAGTATCACATTTATACCCCTCTCAAATACAGTTCCTGTCCTGAGTTCTCTTTTACTTTGTCTTATTTTCGACTCCTGAAGGCAGGGTGTTTCAACATTGATGCTATTGAAATTTTGAACCAGTTCAAGTCTTTGTGAGTGTTCTCTTGTGCACTGAAGGACACTTAGGAGCCTTTTGCTCACCCAAGCTGTATTAATGAAACCTCTCCAAATATTGCCACATATCTCCTCCAGGGCAAGATCATGCCAGGTTAAGAAATACTGAGGTTATCCAAAGCTTGTTTTTAATATATTTCTTTTATTTGTGTGTGTGTGTGTGTGTGTGTGTGTGTGTGTGTGTCGGTGTGTCAGTGTGTTGGTGTGTGGGTATGTACATGTGAGTGCAAGTTCCCACAGAGGTCTAAAAGAGGGTGTTGGATCCCCTTGAGCTAAAGTTACAGGTGGTTTAAGCTGTCTGGCATGGGTACTGAGAACAACTCTGTATGAGCAGCAAGTGCTCTTAATTCCTGAGGCATGTCTCCAACCCAGGAAACTTTTATGAGTGATCTATCACTTAAACTCTGTTATGTCCAAAATCAGTACTCTTATTTCAAAATTATCTCTCCATGACTAAATCGTTTGTGTCAATGTTATCACCATCTTAATCATTCCATTCAGTCAGATTTGAAGTACTTGGAGTGTTTGCTATCTTTGGCTTTCATCAGATCTTTCCATTTCATAACTAGATTGCTCTTTCCCTCTGTACCAAAGTTGTCACCCCACCTTTTATGATTTCAATTGCTCTGAAATGACAGCACTTCAACAGCTCTGTCTGCCCATGCTATATCATATCGAATCCATCCTTTCTCCTTTTAATAGCCCAATCTATCCCACTCACTGTTTGACAGATGGTACATCAAAACTAAACACACCTTTACCTAGTTTTTAAGCTGTTTTAATCTAGGATGTTGCACCCACCTGTCTTATAGCTGCCTTTTCTCTCCAGGCCAGCCAGTTGCCTCTCTCCCTTATACAGGGACTTAGAATCTCACCTTTCTCTTCTCTTCTTTTGGAATGACCCTTTTGTTGACTAGTTATAGCTGTTGGTTAGTGCCAAGCCCTTTTATAATGTTGTACCCAACCACTTCATTTTACTTTCTGATACCTAAGGTACCATTGTGCTTACTACAGAGGTCTCTTGGTTCTTCATAAAGGAAAATGAAATTCAAATGTCAGGTGTAGACAGTTTAAGGAGAAGGTTATTTAGCAAAGCAAAGTAAGTACTCCAAAGACAAAATGGATATGTGGTCTTAAGTGGGGAACAACCCAGTAGATTTCAAGAGGCTTTATTACTGCTTCAAAAGTAGATGGCATATTCATGGCATAAAGTCAGTGCCCCCACCCCCAATTATTGTAGATTAGATCTTCCTTTTAGAATATTTTTTCCTATGATCCTCTACAAGACCTCAGTGCAAGGGTGGGGGGGTGGTCAAAACTATAATGTAAATGGCATTATGAAGCTGAAGTTACTTGAAAACTCTTAATGCACGTACATGGGGGAAATTCCTTGGTGCCTTAGTTTTTGATATAGTGGGAACAACCTATCTTCAGCCTAAAGGACATTTAACTACAAAGGGCCATTCTGACCTTCATAAGGCATAGCTTCCAAGACACAGCTGCAGTTTTCTTGGTTAGCTTGCATTTCTTGCTTATCTCATATCAACCTCTTATTTGAGATGGCTCAGGGTTCCATGATGGAGCTCAGGACATTGAAAACATCTTGTTATTTTTCAAACTGAAGCTTTATCATAAAAGTTGGGACCAGCATTTTGTAGTTGGTTTTTAGGCTGTCTGTAGGACTGGCTCCCTCAGCTTCTCCTGTCATGCTTGTCTTTTCCCTAGCACTCTCCCCACCGGTACCATGCCGTTGAATATTAAATATTCCTTATATGGTTTCACATACATTTCTCCCTTAGTAGTTTGTTGGTCAGGTCAGTGATGGCAGGGTCTCCCTATCCTTTATGTGTCTGCTTTACAATGGTTATTAGAGTACTGGCTACTATATTAAACTACAGGCTGTCTCTGAATATGTGCTTATTGCTAACTGTAGTCACAGATTGCCCAGGGCTAGTACTATCATCATCGTTATGTTTGATAACTGGTTAAAGATTATTGAGCATTTTCATTTTGACAAGAAATGGTAAGCACTGTCCGCATATCATCTCATTTAATCTTCACCGCATGTACCTGTATGAAGCAGGTTCCGTTACTTTCTCCATTTAACTGGTGAAGAAATGGAAGCTAAGGACAGGTTAAATAACTTGTCTAAGATGCATAGTGAGTGATGGAGTAGGAATTCTCATCATATCTGTCTTAGCAGAATCCTGATCCTCCTCTAACAGAATTTTTTAAAAAACATAAGTATCTAGACTATAACCCTGGAAAGCAAAAATACAGCATGGAAATGGGGTTCAGACACTGAAAAATGATCAGTTGGCACTCCTCACCACAGCTCTGGCTCTCAGTTCAGTGTTTCCGGTGCCTCAGTGTGTACATCTGAAATGTGGCATGCTAATGTTTCATTCTTGTTCCTTTTTTCCCGCAGTTACTGACTATACTACTGGACGAGTTGGAGCTCCTCTTATTTGCTGTGAAATTAAGCTAAAAGACTGGCAGGAAGGTAAGAATTTCATCACATGCTATCATGACTAGAGACACTGAAGACCACTGTGAGACTCAAGACTTCTGTTTCTTTGAAGTGATAGGCTGTCTGTTGTATCAAATGACTTTTTGCTGTTGCCTGCCCCCTATGATCATTTTCCTCAGAAAAAAATATGTCTAGAGTTTATTCATAATGATCCTCAATTTAGGAAGTACTTGACATCAGGGGGGAAAATTATTGGGACTTTCCCTAAGTATGGAGAAGATGACAAACATTTTGCAGCTCAACTCTGCTAGTAAGGCTGTTGGGGCCTAGAGAAAAACCCTGGGTTTTCAGGTTACCGAGTAACTGACTATGCATACATAGACACCAAGGTCTTGATGCTAGCAATGATTTTCATAATCAAGACTTACCTATGTAGCTATTTATACAGTGGAGTTTTTCCATGTACCTATTAGAGGCAAGCCACTTAGAGGAAACCCGCACCATACAGACATTTTATTAGCAAATGAGCTGTGGACAGAAGCAAACTAATAGTCTTACAGTGGACATGATAAAAGATGATAAACACATTAATTACAGTCATGGTGGATTATTTAATAAACAAGTATTTAACAGCTTTGCCAATAATTGTCTGACCACAATCAAAATTCATAAAATTTCCCTCCATATCTCATAGCTTCTCCTTCTCTTCCACTTAAAACATTGCCTTTCTTAGGTATTAACTATCTATTCTCTTTGACTGAACTTTCCTTAGAACAAAATCTGAAAGTCATTGTTAAGAGTGTATTGGTAATTTACTTATAATAGCATTAAATGTTGCTCTTGTTTGGGAAGACGTCATCTTAAGAGCTCTGTGAACATTAAGTTTTATTTATGTCCTAAGTTCGAAGTTCCATATCATGGAGAGTTTGGGATAGATGGTTTTCAGTGGTGATTATTGTGGAGCTTTCTCTGGTGTTACTGAAATCATTCACGTATACCCATATAACTGACTAAATGTAAACTATGATTCTTCCACAAACATGATATAAAATTAGGAATAAATAAACCTTTATAAGCAAATGAATGGTTGGTGAGATGACTCAGTGGGTGAAGGTGCTGGTTGCCAAGCTTGATGACTTGAGGTTGATCCCAAGGACACACATGGTGTAAGGAGAGAACGAACTTCCACAAGTTTTCCTCTGATTTCCACCTGTGTGCCATGGTGCATGTATGTGTGCACATGTACACACAACACACACAAATAAATGCAATATAAATTTAAATAGTTTTAGAATAATAACTGATTATTTTTGATGATTTCTAGGTGGTTATACAGTTCATGATAAGCCAAACCCCAGAGGTGAGATCGTAATTGGTGGGCAGAATATCTCTATGGGATATTTTAAAAATGAAGAGAAAACAGCAGAAGATTATTCTGTGGATGAAAATGGACAAAGGTGGTTTTGCACTGGTGATATTGGAGAATTCCATCCTGATGGGTGTTTACAGATTATAGGTTTGTGTTTCTCTTTTTGTTTCCTTTCATGTTGTAACTTCAAGGAACATGAAAGATTATATAGATCAGATCATCGGTAGGGTTGACAGACATTGATTGGTTCCAGACTTGGGCAAGCTATTTTAATCATGCCTGAGCCTCTCTATCTGTGAAATAGAACCACGAACCAACCTCACAGGGAGGCTGTTAGGATTAGATGAACTCATAAATAGAAAATATTCAGAGAAGTACCTGAATGTGTATTTGTTTGTTTTGGAGACAGGGTCTCCCTGTAGCCCCAGTTGGCCTGGAATTTGCTACGTAGACCAGGTTGCCTCTGTCTCTCGGGTATTGGGATTAAAGCATGCACCATCATGCTCAGCTCTGTCTGAGTCTTTTAAAGTAGCTAACAGTGGTACAAAAAGCAGTATTTGGGGTGGGGAGAATGGGCAGAAAAATAAATAGCACACTGGATAATGAGAACACAAAAAATAATTCAGAAGAGACCTGTTTTGCTGAACTCAGATGATTCTGTGTAATACATATGATAGATGCTATTCGAGGTCTTGCCTCTCCTTTACTTTCGAATGCATCCATGTTTTTCTTGGTGCCCATCTCTATGGCTCTAACTGTCCCTGAAAGTTAAAAAGTGATAATTTCAACCTCCAGCACCAATCCGTTCTTCAGATTGATTGTTGCTTTGGCATTGTCCTAACTTACAGAAGCAGGTGGTTAAATTCAAAAAACAACTCCAAAAGTGACTCCAAAGGAAATACTGTGTTCACTTTAAATGGGCAAAAGTAAAAACACTGACTAGCTGTTAGGACCACTGTGCAGGGTCTGTCCTGTTGGGTTCATTCCGTCATAGTTCTAGTGACTCATTTAATTTGTTGCTAAACTTGCTAGTGTCTGAACAGAATGTACCTAGAGGTTTCCTGGGCAGTTTTTTTCTTCTTCTGTACCTTTGATCTGCTGAAGAAATACCCAAGAAACGTGATTCATTTTAGAACCAATAAGCCCTTCATAGTTCTTCCTACCTCCCTCTTGGGGGATCAAACCAAGGCCTTACATATACTGCATGATTGTTGTATCACCGACCTACATATTCCAAGCCCTCCTTGAGTCTCTTTTTTTTTTTTTTTTTTTTTTTTGGTTTTTTGAGACAGGGTCTCCTTGTAGCCCCAGCTGACCTGGAACTATGTAGAACAGGCTGGCCTCAAACTCACAGAGATGTGCCTGCCTCTGCCTCCCAAGTGCTGGTTTTAAAGGTGTGCGCCACCACACCCAGCTCACTCTTTTTTTAAAGACATGATTGCATTAGGCAACTGAGGCTAGCTTTAAACTCACTCTAGCCCAGGCTAGCATTAAACTCAGAAGCCTCCTGCTTCATCCTGTTGAGTGTAGAAATTAGAGGCATGTGCTGTTGAATAAGCTGACTCCTCTTTGATTCCTCAGTGTATGTGTACGGTGGATGTACTTTTTCCTATGTATGTGTATGCACGTGTGCGTGGGTACACATGGAAGCTGTAGGCTGAGACTTCAGAGTGTCTTCCTTGATCACTCTCTACCTTCTTTTCTTGAGACAGAGTCTCATTGAACCTGGAGATCATCGATTTGGCTTTACTGCCTGACTGATGAGATTCAGGAATCCACCTGTCTGCTCTGCCCACAGCATTAGGCTTACAGGCACATACCACCACCCTGTATGTACTTGGGGAGTTCTCTTGCTTACATGGCAGTCATGTTATAAACTAAACTATCTCTCCAGTGTAGTATGTGATTTTTTTTCTTTTTTTGCATTTATTTTTATCAACCTACTTTCATATGTAAGCTTTTGTTTGTGCGATATGGAAAAGAATAAACAATTGAGATCCAGATATATGATTGTTAACACATAAGCACACAAAATGCATGTGCACAAAACACTATATTGCTGTAGGTTAAAAATTAAAAGGAAGCCTTGAAATCGAGTAGAATGTTAGAGAGGGTCTTTTATGGAAAAATACCTGGCATCGTCTCTTTTTATCTTTTTTTTTTTGAGATAAACTATTATTTTTTGTACATGAGTATAAAGTATAAAGATCATATCCTCCTCTCTGCTCCCTCCAACTCCTCCGGCCCCCTACAAATTATATGCCTTCTCCTCAAATTATTGTCCTCTACTGTGATTATTATTGTTTTATATACATCAATAAATATGTGTATATATAATAACCAACTATATCCAGTTAGTGTTGCCCATATGCACACAGGAATAGGGCTAACCACTTGGCCATGGACAATCTATCAGGGGGATACCCTGAAGAAAAGTGACTCCTTCAACAGATGTCTAATGCCTAGAGCTCCTCAGCCAGGTTTGGGGCCCATTCATGCTGGAATAGAGACTGATGTGGTCTTAAGCAGGCAACTGTAGCTGTTCAGAATTCATGGGCACAACATGTGAGAAGCAGTCCTGGGTTCTTAACTGCACTAAAATTGACAGCTTTTCTGTGGAGTGATTTCTCAGACTATAGGTAGGCAACTCATCATGCATATGAAGGATTTTAAGCAAGCTGATAATTATTCAAATGGGGCCATCCTGTGCCAGTACTTTCTTATAACACTGTCATTTAAAAACGAAAACGTCAAATAGAGAAAATGGGAATTATTATTAGCATTTGTTGAATATGCTTTATATGAAAGACACTCTGTGACATGTTTATGTGAGGTAGGCACCATTACGCCTAGAAAAAGTGGTGTCAAGAGAGGTTAACTGAGATACCAAGGATCCCAAAAATTATACCAGGCAGAGTTCCCATTCTAATCTAATGCTTCAAAGTCCTGCCCTTTCCTTGACTTCATTGTAAAGCTTTGAGTCTACGATATAACATTTAGTCAGTACCTTTTTAAGTATATATTTTTTGAGACAGTATCTTGCTATATAGCCGAAACTGGACTTGAACCCTCTATATAGCAGAGATTGAACTGGAACACATCATCCTCCTGCCTTAGACTCCTTAGTGCTGGGATTACAGGTGTGGATCACCACACTCAGATCTTAAAGTATAATACTTAAGGTATTCTTTTTCAATGATATGTATTTGCAGATATTATATATAACAGGATTTTAGAGAAAATAAATTTGTAAGTAAAGACTAACCCATTGAGATTCAAAGAAATCAAAATTGTGCACACCTCAATGAAACCATCTGAATATGTATTCTTTGTGATTATAGATCGTAAGAAAGACCTGGTGAAGTTACAAGCAGGGGAATATGTATCTCTTGGCAAAGTGGAAGCAGCACTCAAGAATTGTCCACTAATTGACAACATCTGTGCTTTTGCCAAAAGGTAATGTTCTTTTTAAAAGATAAAATTGTTACATTTATTTGTTTGTTTTCCTGGATGGAGGTGGGAGGTGGGTGGGTGGGAGGGGGTACATGGGCTGTAGTACATACTATATATGGAAGCCAGAGGGCAACTTCTGCAAGTTAGTTCTCTACCACTGCCATGTGGGTACTGGAGATCTAACTCAGGTGCTCAGACTTGATGGCAAGTGCCTTAACCCACTGAGCCATCTCACTGAACCAAAGGTAACCTTCAAAAGTTGACTCCAGTGGATGAACTTGCACTGAGGGACATCTGGGTACACTAACTTGACTGGGTAGGCCTTAACATATATTATAGAATGCATGAAATTTGGGGGGCGGGGGTAGAAGGGGATATAGATGAGCAAGGGAATATAAAGATGATTAAGATGTTCTGTATGAAATGCACAAAAATTCAAGAAAAATGTACATTCAAAAAGAATGGTTACATATATTTTAATAAAAATTGTGTTGTGTTTCATGTACTTACAATAAAATGAACATTAGAAAAGAATTTCATTGTATGTAAGAATAAAAACATCATACTTGGAACTTCTATCAGAGCTAGGAAATTATACATTTATGAAAATTGTTTAATTTAGCAGCATGAAGATCATTTCCAATACCTAAGACTTTGTAATTCTTTATTGGGCATCTACTGTGTCCTGCAAGTACTTATCTAACTTACCTATGCCACAAGTTCTTTCATTTAAAGTTCATAGCAATTGAGGCTTAGCACAAGTAATTTCCTCAAAACTCCAGTCCCAGGGGATCCAACAGCCTCTTCTGTCCTCCACAGGCATTGCTCAACACGGGTGCACTAACCTACATGCAGGCAATACACGCATACACATAAAATAAAAATAATAAATAAAATTAAAGAAAAGATCACATAGGTAGTAAGTGCATGTGAGATGAGTTTTCAATCCAAGGTTTTTAAAGTCAGGAGCCTGAAAGATTGAACTGTTTTCTTTATGTTACTGTAATAGGCATATTTAGAATTATCAGTACTGGGCTGTTTCCTTGAATAACTTTGGAATACTTTTGCTCATTTTAATTTCTATCTTATTGTCTATACTTTTTCAGTGACCAGTCCTATGTAATCAGTTTCGTGGTTCCTAACCAGAAAAGGCTTACCCTTTTGGCACAACAGAAGGGGGTAGAAGGATCTTGGGTTGATATTTGCAATAACCCAGCCATGGAAGCTGAAATACTAAGAGAAATTCGAGAAGCTGCAAATACCAGTGAGTAAGAAATTGTTATCACCCAATAGATATTTTGTACATTAGACTCTTGAAGATTTGTTCTAATAATGAAGTACAAGAGTTCTTAAAGATAATATTTTTAATTTTTGAAAATGTTAATATATGTATGTATCTTGGTCATATCTACTCTTCACTTCCACCTCCAGCTCCCTCTAAGCCTTCTCAGCACATTTCCCTCCCAACTTCATGTCCTTTCTGTTTTAAAAAAATGCAACTTGAATATATATAATGAATTTCTATGTTGGAATAAACTTTTTTTAAAAAAAATTTTTTTAAAACATATTTAATCCTTTAAAGATTTTAGGGTTACCTCTTCAGAGGGGGAATATTAGAGTAGCCAAAAGCCCCATAAAAATAAATAAAAGAAAAAACCCACAATTTTTTGTTCTTTGAGAATTTTCTACAGTCTACAATGCATTTTGATCAGATCTATACTCCTTCAACTCCCCCCAACACATCTCCCTCCCAACTCCATCTCTTCTTTATTTTAATAACCCACTAAGTCCAATTAGCATTGCTCATTTCTGCATGGATGTGGCAACATCCATTGAAGCATGAGCATGCTACCAGTGACCCTAAATCCCAAAGAGAAAAATGTCTCTACCCCAGTCATTATCAATATCTCAGTTAAGGGTGAGTCCTGGGGAGCTGCTCTACCATACATGTTGAAATTTTGACTATCTTGATGTTCTGCAGGTAACTATGCTGTGAGTTCTTAAGTACAATGGTCATATCATGTACAAAAGACAGCATTTAGTCCTCCAGCACTTAGGTTCTATTCTCTCCCCTTCTTCCATAATGTTCCCTGAGCCTTGGGTAGGGAGAAGGGAGTATTTCTATAGTCCATCCTATTAGGGCTGAACACTCACAGTCACTTATTCTCAGCACTTTGACCAGTTATGAATCTCTGTATTAACTGCTAACCACTGCAAAAAGTTCCTTCTCTGACCAATGTTGAACAGATCAGGTCTATGGGTATAAACATAAATATTTAGAAACCTTTTCAATAGCATGACCATTTAGCAAATCAAGAGTAGTAGGTTCCCCTAGTGTCTTTGACCTCTGTAGCCATGGGCTTTTTGCCAGGTTTACAGTACCAAAAATGAATTCCCTGTGGTGGAACAGGCCTCAAATCCAATCAGAAAAAAGTTGGTTTACCTCTGTTACATTCATGCTACCAGTGGGCACATTTTGCCTGACAGGTTGGTGTTATAGCATGCAGGGTCCACTGCTAAGTAAGATCGTTGCCTTTCTTCCCCAGTGGCTAGCAGAGAGGAAGTTTCCTGGTAGTTTTGATTTTCGTTTCTGTATGCTCTACAACCAAAGTGTGTTCTGTCTTCAGCAATAGGGTCTCACTATCTAGTTATGGTGGTCAACCAAAAGTTTTAGTCTGTGTTGTTAGGGTTCCCTAGGACCTCCCTGACCAGCTCGTGGGGAGGCATCTTATGTTTCACAATGAGTTTATTTTTGAATAACCCGTGTCTTCTGGAAGCATCATTGTCCACTAATGCAGGGTGCCTCAGTCATACTCTTTTCCTAACTTACATTTTTAATTAGTTTACAAAGTGGTGAATTTTTATAAGGGCTTTTCATATATCGTTAGTTTTGATTAACCATCTCCCCATCACTTCTTCTCCCACATTCCCTCCAGCTAAAAGTTTTAATCCCCAGTATTGCTCCCTTCTTTCATAGCACATGTATTCTACTATCCTCTACCACCATTAATGCCTCTTCTCCTCCCCTTCTTATGGGCCCTTTCTGCCTTTCTGGGTTCCTGACCTCTATAGATGATCTAACTTAAATGTACAAATCTAAAAATTGAACTTGGGATCCTTATAGGAGAAGAGAACATTTAGTGGTTGTTTTTCTGGGCTGAGGTTCTTTCATTTAGTGTAACATTTCTCAGCTTTATCAATTTTCCTGCAAATTTCATAATTTTTGTGTTTTTTTTACAACTGAGTAAAATTACTTTGTGTATAATCTACAGCATTTTTAGTATCTGTTCATCGGTTGATGGACATCTAGATTGATTCCATTTCTTAGCTATTGGAAACGAGCAACAATGAACATGGATGAGCAAGTATCTCTAAAATGCAATATATAGTCCTTTGGGAATATGCCCAGGAGTGGTATAGCTAGGTCCTATGGCAGTTATGTTTGTGGCTTTGTAAGGATCCACCACAAGATTTCCATAGTGGCTGCACCACTTTACACTCCTGCCAACAGTGTATGAGAGTTCTTTCCCACATCTTTGCCAGCATTTGTTTTCTTGATGATAGCCATTAGTATTAATTTGCATTTTCCTGATGGCAAATGATGTTCAACTCTTTAAAAATGTTTGTTAGCCATTTATATTTTTTCTTTTGCAGATTCTCTGTTCAGGTCCATAGCCCATTTTTTATTGGATTGTTTGTTTTATTGGTGTCTAGTTTCTTGAGTTCCTTGAATATTCTAGTTACTAATCCTCTGCCAGATGTTTAACTGGCAAAGATTTTCTCCCATTCTGTAGGCTGCCTCTTCACTTAATTGAGAGTTTACTTTGCTGTACAGAAGCTTTTTAATTTCATGGGGTCCTGTTTCTTGATTATTGTCCTCATTAATTTGATCAGAGTCTTATTCAGAAAGGCCTTACCTATGTCTATATCTTAAGGCCTACTCCCTAATTTTTCCTCTAGCAGGTTCAGAGTCTTGCATCTTATGTTAAGGTCTTTGATTTGGAGGTGAATTTTGTGTAGTATGAGGGATCAGGATCTAGTTTCTTTTTTTAAATAAATTATTATTTTATTTTTTATGTGTAGGCGTGTATTGCCTGCATGTATGTAAATGCACCCGTGTCGTGCAGTGCCCACAGAGGACAGAAGGTGTCAGATCCCCTGGAACTGGAGTTACAGACAATTGTTAGCTGCCATGTGGGTACTGGGATTCAAAGAGTTGTAGACAATGGGGACCTGGTTTGAGAATCTGTGGGTTCTGGTCGGCTGAGGCTGAAGAACCGCTGTGATGAAGAAGAGACCAGAACCCGAAGCAAAACCTTTACTTTACTGGGACAACTGATGGCTAGTTAGCTGGGGCCGAAAAGTCATCTGTAAGTAACAAGAAGCCAGCATCACTGAGGAGAAGTCTTCTGGGAGGTATTTCCTCAGGGTCAGCACGCAGAGGGGACCCGAGCCTCCATCTCAAGCTGGAAGCAGGACTTGGCAATGCGTAAGAGTCTCCCGCGCGGTTCTGGTGTTGAAAGCGTGAAGAGGGTCACAGAGAGCAGCTGAGGCTTGGCACGCAGAGGCCAGGAAAGGCCACAGGTGAACGTGCAGCTTCAGTTCCAGTCAAGACCCCAGGATCGAAGGGGTGAGAATCGGAGGCTTTGCACCCAGAGAGGCAAGAAGACGCCATTAGTGAAGGTGTAGCCTCAGTTTCAGTGGAGACCCCGGCTTTTTGGAGCTGCCAGGACCGTGGGACGACCGCCAAGGGCAGGGGCAGGGGCAGGGGCAGGGGCAGGGGCAGGGGCAGGGGCAGGGGCAGGGGCAGGGGCAGGGGCAGGGGCAGGGGCAGGGGCAGGGGCAGGGGCAGGGGCAGGGGCAGGGGCAGGGGCAGGGGCAGGGGCAGGGGCAGGGGCAGGGGCAGGGGCAGGGGCAGGGGCAGGGGCAGGGGCAGGGGCAGGGGCAGGGGCAGGGGCAGGGGCAGGGGCAGGGGCAGGGGCAGGGGCAGGGGCAGGGGCAGGGGCAGGGGCAGGGGCAGGGGCAGGGGCAGGTGTGGAACGCAGCCGGCCTGGGTCTGTGAGATGAGTGAGCTGTGTGTGTTGCGGATGGCAGAGCCAGAAAAGTGGAGCTGCCAGGACCCTATGGAGCCCAGAAGACCCTGAGTGAATCCCAGATGTGCACCCTTGTGCTACGGTTGCTGGACCTTGGTTTGGCTTAGGTGTGCCCGATTCTGATTCTTCCCTTTGAAATAAGGCAGTACTTGTTTTGGATTTTACAGAAGCCCACCCACAGTTGAGACTTTTAAAAGAGACTGTGAACTTTTAAGTGTTTGGATTTTTAAAGGACAGTTAGCCACCATGTGGGTACTGGGATTCAAACCCGGGTCTTCTTCAAGAACAGCCAGTGTGTTTTTAACCACTGAGCCATCTCTCCAGCCCCAGGATCTAGTTTCATTCTACATGTAGACATCCAGTTTCCCAGCACCATTAGTTGAAGATACTGTATTTTCTCCTATGTATGTACGTCTTTGTGAAAAATCAAACAGCTGTAGTTTTGTGATCTTGTATCTGGGCCTTCTGTGTAATTCTACTGATTGACATATTCTAATAACAAACTTTTTATTAATATAGCTCTGTTCTATAATGTGAAATTAAGTATGATGAGACCTACAGCAGTATCGTTTTTGCTCAGGATTGCTTTGGCTACCCAGGGTCTTTTGTTCTTCTGTATGAATTTCAATATTATTTTTTTTATTTCTGTGACAAATGTCCACGGGATTTTGATTTGGATTACACTGAATCTGTAGATTGTTTTAGTAGGCTGGCCATTTTTACAGTATTAATCCTACCAATTCATGAGCATGAGAGGCCTTTCCATCTTCTAGCATCTTTAATTTCTTTCCTTGGTGTTTTGAAGTTTTAATTACACAGGTCTTTTGCATTCTTGATTAGGTTTATTCTAGGTGTCTTTTTTTGAGGCTATTGTGAATGGAATTTTTTCCTTGATTTCTTTTTCAGTATGCTTGTCATTGATATATATGAAGGCTACTGAGTTTTGTACATTAATTTTCTGTCTTGCAACTTTGATGAAAGATTTTTATCATTTCTAAGAGTTTTCTGATAGAGTCAGAGTCTTTCAGGTTTCTTATGTATAGAATTGTATCATCTGCAAATAGCAGTAATTTGACTTCTTCCTTTTCTATTGTACCCCTTTTATTTGTATCCATTTCATATACTGTTGGCTATTGGTGTGTCATATATAGCCTCTATTATGTTGAGATGTGTTCCTTCTATACAGAGTTTCTTCAGGACTTTTAGAATGAAGGAGTGTTGGATTTTGTTGAAAACATTTTTTTTTTATCTATCAAGAGGACCACATGATTTCTGTCCTTGAGACTGTTTATATATTTTAAAACATTTATTGATTTAAGTATATTGAGACATTCCTGCATCTCTGGAATGAAGCCAACTTGATAATAGCAAATGATTTTCTTGATGTGTTCTTGAATTTGGTTGGCAAATATTTTGTTTATAATTTTTGTATCTGTGTTCATCACGGAGACTAGTCTGTAGTGTTCTTTTTTGTTGCATCTTTGATTTTAGTATCAAGGGAATTTTATCTTCATAAGAAATACTTGGTAATGTTCTTTCCTTTTCTATTTTATGGAATAGTTTGAGAAGCTGTGCTATTCTTTGAAAATCTGGTAAAATTCACCAATGGGCCTGGACTTCTTTTATTTGGGAGATTTTAGTTACTGCTTTAATCTCACTCTTTGTAGATCTGTTTAAATCTCACCTTAGATTAATTTTGGTAGGTTACATGCCTCTAGAAATTGATCTACTTCCAATTTATTGGAATATATGTTCTTTTGGTAAGACCTAATTGAGTTTCTGAATTTCATTGGTCCCATTTGTTGTTAAATACTGTTTTGTTTACTCTCTGTGTATACTCTAGGGTTACTTCTTTACTGTTGATTGTGGTCTTACTCCATTGTAACTAGATATGATAGCAGAAATTATTTCCGTTTTCCCATATTTTTATGACTTGTTTTATGTCCTAATATATGATATATTTTAGAGAAAAGTATATGGGCTGTAGATAAAAATACAGCATTTGGATAGAATAGTCTGTATATGTCTATTGGATCTGCGATGCCATTTAATTTGAGTATTTCTGCTTCTTTTTTGTTGGGAGACCTATTAATTAGTAAAAGTGGGGTATTGTCATCACTTACTACTATGGCACTGGGGTTAATCTGTGGTTTCACATATAATAGTATTTGTTTTATGAATTAGGTATACCTGTGTTCAGGGCATACATGTTAGAATTGGAATGTCCTCTGATGATGTGTTGATCTTTATTTTCTTAACTAGTTTTGATTTGAAGTCTATATTGTCAGGTATTAGAACAGTGACACCTGCTTTTTTCCTAGTATTTCCTGAACTTTGTGTGTTCATAAGTCTGTTTAGCAGAATAATGGCAGTAGGCTCTTCCCTATGGCCTGTGACCTGTCTAGCCACAGATTCATGGCCCCAATAATGGTGGCAGGTATGGTTTCCTCTTGTGGAGTGGGCTTTAAATATCCAAAAATATTTGGTTACTCTCTTGACATTTGCGCCACAGTTTTGCACCAGTGGGCATTTTTTTTTTTTTGCCAGCCCAGTTGTTATTGTAGCTCAATGTTTACAGCTGGTTGAGATTTAATGATTATAGATCTTCTCTGGTAGTGTGCATAGCACCTTCTAGCACTATGAAAAATAGCCAGAAGGGATGAAGCTTCCAGATCATTACCAGCCTAATTTCTTCATGTTCTATGACTCAAGTATGTGGTGTCTTCATCAGTAGGGTCTTACTGTCAAGTTCTGGTGGGTAACCAAGAACAGTTTGGGGTGTCTGCAGGACCTCAGTAACCAACATCTCCAAAAGAGGTAACTCATTCCTGACACTGGGCTTTTTATTTGTTAGCCTGTGATGTCACCAGGCTCTCAAAACTTTCCTTGATACAAATCTTGATTTTTTTCACACACATATATATATTATTTTTTTTGAAATATATATGTATATATATTTCAAAAAGTATTTCAACTAATAAGCTACCCACTGGAGGTGTTTTTCCGGTTATTCCTAGTTCTCAGAATACGTAGTAAAGTAGAATGTTTCTTGAATACTTTCATCATTGGGTATTTAAATATATAAAGTTAACTGGGAAAAGTGAAGTTGCATTGCAATGAGGTGGAAAGGAGAATAAAACTCTCAGGACCTACTAGGCCTCCATTACTCCCCTATTCTTGGAGGGAGGTACATATTTGAAATATTTATGATTTGGATGCTGAAAGATAATCATAGACTAAATATATAATCTATAAACTTTCTGTGCCACAAATTATTTATCTTGCTAGCCTTTTGCTTCAAATTATCATTTCACAGACTTACGCTTTAAAAGAGTATACATTAGTCCAGATTGTATTCAGCTAATTTGTCTAAGATTATACATCTTTCCTGGTAGGTCTTTTCATGTTTAAATTAAAGGCGGGAATAGATAGTAGGAATGCAAAGTAACTGTTTTCTGGTGTTTGGGGCACATAATCTGTGAAACTTGATATGCTGCCACCTCCAGGTGATACTTTGTAATGTTCAGGTTCATTCAGATCACAATGTCACATGTAAAAATTGTTTATTTCTTTTTCAGTCTTATTTTTTAATCTTTCTCACTTGTTGGCAGTTGCTTTATTCTTTTTAAAGAAACTATAATTGTCCATTTCTCTAGTTGCTACTAAATAATGTTCAGGAGTTCCCATGACAATACCCCCCCCCAAAGCCGCCCTTTATATTATACTTTAAACAGTACTTTAGCTAGTAAAGAAAGATGAAATATAGGGACACTTAGAAACATGCTTTAATTAACTTGTGTTCAACTGAAATAATGGACTGATTTTGTTGGTGTTTCTGGAAGTGGACCTTTGTTAAGTAGGGAAAGTAAATGGGAAGAAAAGATTTTGGAACCAAATCTGGGATTAAGCTCTCCCTTGAGGTGCAGGTGGGAGCCAGTGAGCAGAGATTTGCTCCCTGTAACTGAGCTGGAACAGAGTAGACATGGTGGATTCAAGCTATGCGTATGTTCTTTTGCTACCTGTTCAGGCATTATTTGGGGGAACATGACTGTAAGTAATCTGCAAGAGATTATTTTTCATACTCAGCTTTATATTCTATTTTAATGAGTAAATCACGAATTGAAGTAATTTCCCATAAAACTCTGTGAAAAAAAAAACCCATGTTTAACCTAAACTTGAATTTTTTGTGCTTTCCCTGAAACAAAATGGTTTCTATTACTCATCAAGGCTGTTGAGTAGGTTTTTAAATATGCCAATGTTTGCTTTGAAACAATTGTTATTTTAAGTCATTACACAGGAAATAAAGCTCATGCAGTGTGACATTTCTGTTGCTGGCCCTTCAGAATTTTAAGAATGAGTGTATATGAATAAATATCTTGGAGAAATACAAGAAATAAACTAATATGATAGAATACTCTCTTGATTACTTCCATGTCCTTAATTTCTTATACTTTCCCCTACATGTATTGAGTTATATAACTCACATACACCATTAAATCAGTTCTTATACTATTAGCATACCAAATAAATAACATTTGGGTTTATATTTAAATATGTAATAAAATCTATAAAGAATATTTGTCTTGTAGTTTACTTTTTTATTTCCCATGGAATTAGTAAATTTGTTTGTATTTATTGAGGGCTTTCAGTATAGCTTATGGATGGTGGCTAGTAAAGCAAAGACTGCATAGTGGGGTGTGGTGGTGCATGCCTTTAGCCCCAGTACTGGGGACGCAGAGGCTGGCAGATCTCTGTGAGATCGAAGCCAGCCTGGTCTATATAGTGAGATCCAGGCCAGCTGGGGCTACAGGGAGACCCTGTTTCCAAAAAGCAAGAAAACAGAGCACAAAGACCCTAATTTCATGGGAGCTTACATCCTAGTGGTTGAGACAGATATATAATAGTGTTTAGTGGGGAATAAGGGCTTTGAACAAAGCATAGTATGAGTATAAAGAGAGATAAGACAAAAATATCTAGAGTCCTTTTTTCTAAATAATCAAGGGCAGTTCTCTCTGAGGAGGTGGCATTTAAGCAGACACCCAATGGAAGATCATCCCAGGCTGAGGGAACATAGTATGAAGCCTCTGGAGGAAGATGTGGTTGTCTGTGATTGAAAGACAGGCGACTTATGCATGCCTTAAAATAGAAAATCAAATTACTGATAACTATCTGACATACCAATGAGTAAACTCTCTCATCTGTTGCATCATCTAGATACATTCTGAAAAAAAATCTGTTTTATTAATTCTTTTTTCTTCCCTTCTTATTTCAGTGAAGTTGGAGCGATTTGAAATTCCAATCAAGGTTCGATTAAGCCCAGAGCCATGGACCCCTGAAACTGGTTTGGTGACTGATGCTTTCAAACTGAAAAGGAAGGAATTGAAGAACCATTATCTCAAGGACATTGAGCGAATGTATGGGGGCAAATAAAATGTTACTCTCCTATTTACATTTGCACAGGAGGTGGCCTGATGGTTTTTCAGTTCTAGAGTTTAAGCCTTTGTTGATCTGTCTGTTAGAATGTAAGGTGTCATTCTAAAGACACAATAAAAAAGAAAAGAACAACCAAAATTGATTAAAATAGTTGTTGAGTCTACTTTAACTTAGTTTTGCATAGTTCTAGTGAAGCAAAACTGAAAGGCATTTCCCTTTAGCTGTTATTGATTTTAGAGCAGAAATTCACTTTTTTAAAATTAGCCTAAGATACACCTGTTTTCATGAGGAAAAGATATTTAATGTTGAATTAAGTGCATTGGAGTTGGAGTAGATGTGATGGAGCAAGTGTACAGCTTCCAGTGTCTCTTGTCTTCCTAGTTCAGAAGTTTAAATAGTAAACATGACAAAAATATGTATTGTATTAACACTATTCAAAGTGAAAGTGCTGAGAGACTTTAAAATTCTCTTCCAATCATTTATCTTGAAGGGGAAAAATCAGTTGTAATATAAGATATTGGAGTTGTAATATAAGATATTGGAGGCAATATCTTAGAACATATTTTAAGATCATAATTGTTACATAGGTTAGACATAGAATCATTGTACTATTGTGAATAATTACAGTGCCTGAAGTAAGAAGTAAACAACATATACATACCAAAAATATCTAGGAACATATTTGAAGGGAAGCTGAACTGCTCCTTTGAATGTCTGAGAACTAAAATCAGCAACTGTAATTATTTGAATGATTAAAGAGGAAAGTACACTTTTAAAAATATTAAAAGGTGGCCTTCCTTTGTTTTTTCGATTGAGAGACTGAAACCATGAAGAAAATGATCATGTCAATCAAAATTTAACAGGAAACATTTTTCTGTTAGAAAAGCTTATGGAATCATAAATATTTGAATCAGGATCCCTTGCATAGCAGTGAACCTGGGAAAGAGATTTAGACTCTGAATTTATCTTTGATAACAGGGATTGATTTTAAAATGTGCTTGTATTAAATTACATTTGTAATTTATGGTCTGTTTGCTGTTGCTGATTTGACTCTTGATCAGTAGTTTGCATTTCAGAAAGCCTTTCATTTTGCTTTAATTTTAGCAAAGCGGGTTATGAATGACTTCCTCAAAATCTTGTTCAGACCTACGGGTGATTGATTAATTATCTTGGATGAGTTTGAGGAAGTTAAAGGGAAGAAAACACTGTTACCACTTTTTTCCTTTTTGTGAAGAGTTTAGAAACTGGAAATGCTAGGTTTGGGAGAAGGGCAGAGTTACTTGATAAGGGACTGTCTGTACAGTAACTTGGAGTGTGAGTTGTTTTTTTTAAACCTTCAAGTAAAGTCTAGGATTATATATTCTTGATAGATTTTCACACTTGAACCATAGTTACTGTAAAGAGCAAAAATTCTTAATACTGTTATTCTTTGCACTTTTTCATAATCATTTTATATATATATGTTGCTTACATTGCTTTGTACGGTTGTGGACATCACTGCAACAAAATGAATTCTTTGTGCTCTAAAATATTTATAAAGAAACTATTTAAATGTTATGTATATAGTGGTAATAAGGAAAAAACCATCTGGTATTATAAGCAAGAGTGAAGGTTTTTGTAAAAGTTTCTCTTCAGTGTTCTACAAAATAAAATTCTAGACAGATTTTTCCTAAAGTCATCTAAGACTATTCTCCTGCTTTCCAACGGGCCCCTTGAAGAGAGGAGAACCATTACTGTGGGGTAAACTACTGGCGGCTTCTCTTACTCCTGGCCCACTGTTTATCCTTTCAGGGTGGTTTCCTTAAGCTTTTCTAATATGTGATCACCATTTGGAGTGGTGATTTTAAGTGTGAGTGCATGCATGCTATTGTGTTTCAGATATTTGCACCCCATCCCATCTCTGAAAGCTGGAACACTGCCAACTAATCTGTTGAATAGTTGCTTTAGAAACACAGAATTAACACTTAAGGTTGGGTGCTGCTAATCTTCATGAAAATCCAAATATTGTTAAGGGACCAGGGAGATGCCACTGCCCCCTGATTTTTCATCTAAAATATACATGTTTATGTAAACAGAAATCTTTCCATATTCATAGTGACTTTTTAAGTATTTGAGCCTAAAGATGTTGGTCTCACATTTTTATACCTGTTTAAATCATTCAGTTATTATTATATATCAGCCATCAAATAAAATTGTTCTTAGCATTTGCTATAAGTATGTACATTTCTAAGTTGAACACTTGTGACTTTTGCTTTAATTTCATGAAAAGTATCTTCCTTGGCATTTGTAGTCATTCTTTTTTTCTAGAGTGGAGGTATGATTGAGTGAATTTTTTTCAGAAATGAAATACAGTTGAATGATTCACAAAGTCCAAAGTGAGGAAGAGTCCTATTTCTTTTATTACAGAAACTGACTAGTAATCCTTGCCTATATTTTCCTGGTAGCATATGATGAATGTTTTTAAGGTGAGAAGATGAGAACAGGTTAAAGATTGTGTGGTATTTTGATTTCGAGAGAAATATTTTAATTTTTTAATGTAGTTACAAATTCTGTATTCATATTTGTACTTTCTGTCAAAAATGCACGGTTGTAGAATTGTTATTTAGATTTTGTGTTTACTCCTGAAATGTTTTGTTTTCATTCTTAAGTTTGCACTTGACTCTTGAAATAAATCCACCCATGTTACCAAGCCAGTTTGTACTTCTTTATGTGCCAAGATAGCTGTTCATTTGATAATATCTGTTCATATTTACCAGACTTCGAGTACCCATCTCTATGTGTGCCAAAGTACATTAAGTGGCTAAGCAAGTTTGTATACATCCTCACCATTCATTTCAATTATTTGAATTCAAAGCTATTACTTTAATAAGTAGGTAGAATCTGTGGTACGAACATAATTATGTTGTGTGAGTTATTGGCAGGTTCTAACAAATAATCATTAATTTTAGGCTAATTAATACTTAGGTAGAAATATGGATACATATTCATATAACTCAAAACACTCATGTATATAGTGTTAAAAACTGGTAATAGCCTCGATCTCTTGCTTTTGCTACTCTAGTTTAGTGACTTTGGGCAAGTTAACATTGCAGATCTGTAAGTCTTTATCTAGAAACATGGAGTTGGTTGCTAACAGAATCTGTCCAACACAGTAGTTGTGGGACTGAGGTAATCCTTGTGTTTAGAACAATATCTTATATTAGCTATTATGATAATATTATAACCAGACAATATTCATCAGTCGACTAGCACACCTGGAGCCTTAAAGAATTCTCTAATTCTGAAGATTTGTGGAAGGAAGTTTGAATTAAGAGGTCAGGAGACCTGGGCTCATTCTATGCTTAGCTTTGTAGCCATAGTCAAATAACGTCTTAGCTTTAGAGGTTTAAAAGACAGTTTGGATAAAGATGTCCCTTGCAAAAAGAAAAAGATCAGTGACAGAAGAAATAGGGAATAGGCAATAATCCCTGGGGATCATCATGTCCAGCTTTCATGTTTTGATATTGCTATGTCAAGCGATTTTAATTACTTTATTTAAATGATACCTCTAATTTAGAGTTTCCCACAAGAATGTGAGTGTCTGCATGATGCCACCAGAGGGACTGAGAATCCCACTAGGGATGAAGAATGGTTGTCACTGCCGTGTTTGCTTTTTGAATCAGATGTGGGAACACATAATTTTTAAATATTTTTATTTATTATGTTTATTTTAGTGCATGAATGTACTGCCTGCATGTATGTAAATGCACCTGTGTCATGCAGTACCCAAGAAGGTCAGAAGAAGGTGTTAGATTTTCCTGGAACTGAAGTTAGAGATGCTTGTTAGCCGCCACGTGGGTGCTGGGAATCTAACCTGGGTCTTCTGCAAGAGCAGTCAGTGCTCTTAACCACTGAGCCATCTCTCCACCCCAGGGAACACATAATTTAAACCTATGCTTCAAAACTTTTTTTTTACTTTAATCCACAATAGTGTGTAACATACATATGTATGTAAAACGATATTTTACTGTGTGTTTTGTGAAAATTTATACTAATGGCATGCACACTGATTTTCCACCTCCTTTTGTCAGTGTACACACTAAATTGATTTGACGACCCTGTCAAATAGTGTAAAGTTGAACATACTCTGTATCCATGCTGTTTCCTACAGAAACCACCAACATGTGACTGAGACATTTTTGGAATATGTTTCATGTGACTAAGGAGCTGAAGTTGAAAACTTTATTTCCATATCGGACTTCATAGCTCTAGAGAGACTAAAAGTCAAAGATTGAAGCCCTGGGGGCAAAGTCAGCTGTTCTACAAAATGTGTGAATGACAGCCATCTCCTGCTATCTTCCCCTTGTTCCCTGTCTCATTTCAACCCATAGCTGATTGTCTTGGTATCTCCTATCTTGTTTCTCACATGCTTGTAGTACTGCTTGATTTTGTCACTATTGACCTCATCCAGCTCAGTCACACCTCTCATCCTCCCAACATAGACAGGTAGTAAGGCAGAAGGTCTTCATTTTGTGATCACAGTTCTGCTCAGAGCTGAAATGTGTAGAACTCCTGAAGCTCATCAAGGTCCTGTTTGCATTGGTTTTAGTTTCTATGTGCTAATCATCTACCCCCCGACTCTCCAGCAATTATCTGAATCTCTTCTCAGCACTCCCAGCGCTGCAGGTCCAACACAAGAGGAGAGCCCTCGCCCAGCATGCAGAACGCTCTCAATCCCCAGCAAGGGGGAGACAATTCCAGATAAAAAGAACTCCATTTCATTTTCAGTAAACCTAGAGCCCCGTCGATTTCCACTGTACACTATCTTTCCTCCTTTTCCTCATGCTCTGAAGCCCCTTATCTTGCAAATCTACCTTCACGATCATACTGAGGTTTTCTTTTTTTAATATTTATTTATTTTTATTTTATGTATATGCATGTTTTGCTTGCACGTACATAAGTGCACCCATAAGTGCAATGCCCTCAGAGGTCAGAAGAGGGCATCAGATCCCCTGAAATTGGAGTGTTGAGATTGGAGGCATGTGCCATCATCCTTGGCTAAGTTTCTTTCTCTTTTCTCTGTTTCTATGAGAATCAATCCTGGAGCCTTTTGTGTACTAAAGAGTTAACACCTAGCCTTTTAAAAGTTTTAGTGTGAATTTATTTTTTTGGTGCTGAGAATGGAACACAGGGTTTTTGCACATTCTAGGCAAGCAGTCTATGACTGAGGCACATCCCTATCCACCCCCTTCCATTGGGATTCTCACTGTGTAGCCAAGTTGTTTGCGAGTTTATAATCCTGACTCAGCCCCCAAGTGCTGGGGTGGCAGTTGTCCAGCACAGCACCAGCTTTTCCTTAGAAAGCAAAACTCTGTGTTTTAAAGTCCTGTTAAGTTCTAACCCTACTGGATTTCCTTTATCTTAATACATGGTATTTAAGAAGTGCTTCTGAGCACTCATCTAGTCCTGCCAGATGCTGTGAGGAGACAGAACGCCTTGTGCTTACATCACATGATTACAGACGCTGAGGGTAAATTAGAAGCTGAACTTTCTGCTGAAGATTCTAGTTCTGTAGGAATTTAGAAAAGTCAGAGACTGTTTTGTGGTTCAATGTCTTCTGACTTTCCTTGAAAGTCTCCTTTATGCAGGAGGTATCCTGTATGTATACCTAATGCAGAAGAGGAGAGTGATTCTCACCAAATGCTGCCTGGCAGCAAGGAGTATACATTCATTCAGCCCCAACAGCCTGAGAGGACCAAGTGGAGTGAGATTGTATACCAGAAATCTAAGCAATTCCATTTGTGTGTGAGTTATGGATGGCCTCTGCCTTTGGGGTAGTCCAAGCTCCCTGGCAGGCTGCATTATTATCCACTTATCCCAGGGGATCAGTCTCTATTATCTGCATGCTTTGAGCAGTGAAAACTTGTAAAACACTCATACATGCAGCCCTCTTCTCGGAGAACATGGTAACACATGGCCTGACTGATTTGTTTTCCTGTCAGCTGCCCCAGGCAAACTGTCACTGGCTGTGGAAAGGTAGATACTGCTAGTCTCGTGTATCTCCTGAGCCTGTCCCCGTGCCTGCCACATAGAGCATAGGGACGTTTAGGAGGATGAGTGCCCTTTGGATAGCCTGAAATGTTAAGGTTTACAGCGGAGGTGAACGATAGGACTACACTAAGACCTGCTCCTGCTGTGAGTTTGGAAAGCAGCTAAGGCACCTGGGATTGTTCATGCTTTGAGGCAGTGGGACGTTATCAGGCCCATCATGCATATTTAATATATTGCCGGATGAATCATGAACCACTGAAGCATTACGGCCAAAGAATAAACGTCAAAATCCCAACAGATGGTAGTTGGCACAGCTGCCCTTCATTTTTCTCTTAGCATTGAATTTCAAGTGGAGCCCTGTCTACTCAATGTGGGAACAATTTCTTTCATGGTCTGGGACCTGATTTCAATCATTTCAAAATGTTCCCATATTATTTTCCAACTCAGAAGCCCACAGAGACCCCCTACAACCCCCCCACTCCCTCCCCCACTATCCCTACTAATGTAGAGGTGAGGTGAACCCTGCTTATTCCCCCAAATGTGTCAACTATTGCATTCGGAGAATGGTCTGGGTGACTGTCCTTTCTCAAAGCTCCTCTGATAAGCGGCATCTTCAATGAAGTATGCTCTAAATGAGGCTGCATTAAATGCCTCTCTTCTGGTTCCACTGCACCATAACGTTACTGCTAAGAATGAAATAACCACAGCTGAGCATTTGACATATTCCAGGCCCCGTGCTCCCTACAAACATTTCCTTATTCAATTCTAGCCATGAAATCCTATGGTAAGCACTGTTGTCTTTATTGTCTCCATAGTATATGTAAGGAAATCAGAGCACAGAGCCATAAGGTGACTCAGCTCTAGATAACACAGCTGCTAGGTGTCCAGGGTGGGACTCAAGGGCAGGTTTGTTTGCTGCTGGAGCTGCTGTTCTTAAGCACTAAACTTTGCTATTGACATTTACCAGTCTTCAGCACACACTGTTATAATGGTGTGAGTGGTTTCTGTGGTTCCCTTTGCCCCCTGGAGAGTGTTAGTTCCACCACAGCAGGAACCACAAAACCAAGTCTCTTCTGGATCCCCAGGGACTAGAAATAGACAATACATACTAGTTGCAAAAAGTTCTACTGTGGAGAAAGGAAAATACCAGATGTCCGCCAGATGGCGGTGTGGGAGTCCAAGAGAAAAGTACCCCCACACCAACTTCCCACTGGTTTCCCACCGAATGCTCAAAGCAGCACATTGTTTTCTTTCCTTGCCTAGAGAGGAGTGAGTGGGTAGCAAGACGTTTTAAAGAGAATGTCCAGGTAGGAACTGGCATAATCTGACAATTTCATTTAATACCTCTGTCTTGGCCCCAAAGGGAAGGGAGCGTAACGCTACTTCACCTTTCAGATGCATGCATTTCTTTGAAGTTATCGCCTAGTGCTTTGTAAATCCTTGGCACCATTAAAAGGCTCCAGATAAAAGCAAGAATTCCCCGAAGCGTGGAAGAGGACTGGGCAGTGGAATGGAAATGCTTCCCTTCTGGGAAGCAGCCATACTTGGATTCTGATGGTTCAGACATTGAAGGGAGTGGGCGTGGGAGGGCTTCAGGAAAGTCCCTTGTCCTTTATTGACTTCAGTTTTCTTGGCTCTATGTAAAATAAGGTTGGAAGC